TACACTTCCAGCTGATCCTGAGTCTAAAATTAAATATATTGGTTTATTGTTTACAGTAGCATTACAATAAACTGCTTATACAGCTCTTGGTAATTCTGAGGGATTTATGTTTATATTGGTACGCTCACCCTCCTGAGGTACCATTAATAATTTAAAAACTGGGACGAAGAAGCAAACTGATTCTGAGTATTTACTGATGGTGGGTTTAGAAGAGGAAGGTCATAGAGGTTTGTGACAGTGGGATAAAGCCTGTGCTATACATTGGAGTCATTTGTGATAATGCAACACATTATCTGGTATTATAACCAGATGGCGTATTAACGTTTCCTCCCATATTTCCAACAGGATTATTCACATTCCTAGTCAAGAATACATATCCCCAATGTCTAAATTGTTCACAATATGGCAGGGTCCTCTTGGTAGATTATTACAATTTCTGGAAATATGTCCCTTTTGGTAGCAACTATGGTAAGTGATCCCAGTATTAGGCTTGTTAGTCAAATTATATCAGTTGTTTCCATTATTATTTTGACTTCCTGGATTATTCCTTTGCCTACAATCCCTAGCAATATGACCAGGTTATCCACAATTATAACAACTTTGGTTGTTTCGGTTACTGTTGTTATTATTACCATTATTATTTCTCCAGTTGTTATTTGTATTGGCTGGGTGTGGGCCAATATTTTGAGCACATGGCGTAGTATTTGAAGTAGTTAACAATTGCTTAAATTCTTTTAGCAACTTATCATTATTACAGTCGATAAGTTGTTGAATGTTAGGAGTAGTAGTGGAATTCTCAACAGCGTCGTCATCCTTTTGATTCAGATATGCCTTGCTTAACGAGTATCCAGAAAGTGTATTATCCTTAGATAATACTGCTTTAATGGCTTGTGCTTGATCAATTGCTTCTTCTAAATCACGAGGTGCAGCGGCAGTGATAGCAGTAGGCAAAGCCCTTGTAAGAATTGTTCAATTTTCTCATCTTCTGGTGTGTTATAATCAGGATCTAATTTAAGGTATAATGATTCAACATCAGCAGCGTAGTCCTCGATGGACTATCTAAGTCATTATTTACATCGTTTAAGTGCTGAACGCCATTGCGTTCTCCGATGGGTTATACAGTAATGTTTCAAAAAATGATAGACAAAGGAGCGATGTTTATGTTATCGATTAGTGAAATTATCCCAATATCGCAAGTCCTTTTTATTCTTTGTTTTATTATACTAAGTAAGGGCTAACCCTTTCAAGAATGATAGAACTAAGTTGAGACGTCGTCTGTCAGAAATTCCATTTGCATCTCCAGCATTATTATATCGTTTTAACCAATCTCGAGGGTCCTGGTCTCCTCCTTTAAAAGTGGGTAAATCCACAAATTTAGCTTCCTGTTGTCCTCTGAATCTAACAGTTTTGAAGACAGTTTGTAATCCTTTCATCATATGGAAGAAGTTTCGTTTATCTTGATCATTCGTGCTATTTTCATCAAATGGGTCCTCTTCCTCATTGTCGTCAGACTTATGATCACTCGAGTCAGAACTAGAAGAAGATGACGGATTATCATAGTAAGATATAAAACGATGGCTCTTCTGTTTACTAGTTCTCTTATCCTTCGACTTTTTATCTTTGGGTCAGTCTTGACCAGTTTTTGATTTAAAGGAACGCGAGGAGCTATCATTCTTTTAGTCAGAAGTTACAGCTTTCTCGTCAGAGGATCCCATATAGGTTAGCTTAGAGGATTTCCCAGTTCCTCTGCGAGAGCTAAAGGCAGAGTTATCAAAGCTCAAGATTTGTTTATCAGGGTCCCTCCCGCTTGGAGTAGTATTTGCAATGATAGTTTCATCAGGTAGATAACTTTCTTGAAGGGTGGATCTTCTTTTGCTGATTCAGACGTAGCACTATTTCTACAAGTTATTTGGGGTTTAGTCATTCTAGATGGAGAAGAGTTACGACTTATAGTTAAGAGAGATATATCGAGATGATTAAGTAAATCACCTTGGTATTTCTTTTGGAATGATTCAGTTTCAGTTTGAGCCTGAATACAATATTCAATGACTCACTCAAAAGTTGGTATCAGTACTTGTTTATATCTCAAAGTTCTAAATGTTTACTTGTAATATATTTCTCGTGCGCTAGTAGTTTCCACAGAGATTGCAGTTTGAAAGACTTTTAAACTTTTGCTAGTATATAATAGTGCTTCTAAGACTTTTTGTGCCCAATCAAAGAAATTAAGGAAAGATTAAGGGATCTTCTTAGGGGGTGGGTTACAAGCAATGCAAGAAAAATTGTCATTTAAAGTATCACTAGTAGTTTTCCTAAAGTTACGCTCTGACTTATTGTATATAGCTGAATAGTTTCGTTGATATTTAATTAATTCTCTAAAGCTGTTCATAGAGTATTTCACATAGGTTATTACTGCACCAATTTAGGAAAAGATAGTTCTGTCGTCATCGCTAAATATTAACGTGAAATTCTTGTGAACTATAACTGTTAGACAGGGTGTTCGAAAGGTTTATTCTTTTTAATGGAGCAGTAATCTTTCAACAATTCACAAGCGTTTAATCTAGTCAGTTTATCAAAAGTATTATACTATTTCATCAAGCAGTAATTCAACAGATCGCCAGTAATTTGTATTTATAAAATAATGTGTTTATTCATGAGTAAAATAATAGAAATAAAAGAAAAGAGATAAAAGAAAATAAGAAAATAAAATAAGAAAATAAAAGAAACGAATTACTGAAATAAAATATAACGCGATAGGCCAGTTGCCTCTAAAACTATTAAAATTAACTTGTTAAGTTCTTATCTGTCTCTCCTTTTTACATGAACTAAAAAGCTACCTATTTATATAAAATAAATTATATAGAGAAATATAACTAACATGTCTAATATGTCAACTATATCTAACATATTAACTATGTCTAATATATCAACTATATCTAATATGTCAACTATATCTAATATGTCAGTTATGTCATATATGTCTGACATATCATATATACCACTTATGTCACATTCGTTGATCTTCTATGCCACATAAGCTGCGTCACATTTACCCGTTTACAGTATATATACGATATTTACTATATATATTTATACATATGGTAGTATTTCAATCTGAATATCTGTTTATCTGTAAATAGATAATCTATGACTTCCATCATGAATCTGGATTGCTATCTGTAAGAAATCTGAATAAAGGATAAATCCGTAACAGATTTATTAGTGATCTAATCTAGATATACAGATACAAAAAAAAAAATTAATAAAATGTTATTTATTTTTATCAATACATTAAAACTTAAGAATTTTGATAAAGACGAATGCTTTTTTATAATGACTTTATTAATTTGTTAATTTCTGGCAGTACATACACATTATTTAATTATTTCTCATTTAATAGAAAAATCCCCCTAGCTAAATATTAATTCTTTTTACAACAAACTAAATTTTCCAATATATTTGACGCTAATTATGTTCTTTTATGATCATTATATTACCAGCTTCGCTAAAAAGCCTTTCACTTAGAGTTGAGGTAGCAGAAATCGCTAAGTATTTTTTTGCTAATTTCGATAATATTGAAAATCTAGTATTTTTAGTTTTTCGCCATAATAAAGGACAATCGTCAAGATGAATATTAGGTAAAGCCAGATAATTAGCTACTTTATCAGCACAATTAATATTATCTTGAAATATTCTTGCTAATAATGAATTTGATGAAACTGCTCTAAATTTAACTTCTTGATCTTTATCAGTTAAGTTTCTCATATTTAGATATGTATTTTTTAACTGTTCATAAGTTCTAATGCACAATGATTCAGAAGCAAACTTTAAATCCTTGAATCTTAGATCTAGCAAAGCAGTCAATGTTCCTTCTTCTTGTAGAACTTCCTAATAATGATTCATTGATTTATATAATGCCATTTTAATACGATTTGTAAGATTGTTGCAGTCTTGTGAAATATTAATATTAATTTTTCTGTGTTTAGGTCGTTCAGTAATTGGTTCATCTTCTAATACATCTTCATAATTAACATCATCATCAAAGGCTATATTCAGACTTGTTAAATCTATAATCTCAACATCGGAATTATCATCTGGTATTAATTTTTGATTAATTACTGCTAATATACTGTACATTAAACTAATAGTTGTATATTTCTTTTCACTTAAAATTTCAGTTGCTCCAGCAAAATCTTCCAAAATTATAATCAATTTACTTATTTCTTGCTATTCAGCTTCTGTTAAATTTATATTTTTTAGTCGTTTACCATCTCATCGTGTCAAAGAATCAGGATCAATTATCATAGTTGATGCCAAAATATCAATGAGATCCTTAATTTTTATTAAGCATTTCCATGCAAGATAACTGGAGTTCCATTTTGTTTCAACATCAACAATCATCTGAAAATATTCATGATTATTTTTTAAATTCTAAAATAAATAAAAATAAACATTATTATTTTTAGATTTTTATTTAATTAAATTAAGTAAAATAAAATAATACATTAAATAAAACATATTAAATAAAATATATATAAAATAATAAAACATATTTTATATTAAATTAAATTAAATTAAAAATATCAATATATTAAAGTATATCACGTTAAATTATAATATACTATATTAAATATATTTATATTAAATTAAAATATAATGTGTTAAATTAAAATGTATCACATTAAATTAAAATATATCATACTAAATTAAAATATATTGCGTTAATTTAAAATATATCACATTAAATTAAAATATATTATATTAATTTAAAATATATCATTACATTAAATTAAATATCACATTAAATTAAAAATACATCATATTAAATTAAAAATATACTACAAATATTACATTAATTAAAAATATAATAAAATTAAATAATTAATAATAATAATAAAATATTAAATTATCTCATTATTAACAACTTAAGAACTTTCTTGAATTTCTTGTAATCGTTCAATTTGTTTAAATGTTATAAAGAAGTTTATTAATCGTTTAGCACTTGCAATTAGAACTTCAGCTGGTAGTAATCCTTTTTCTATTACCAATTGTAAGGTATGTGCAGTACAAGGGAGTCGTATAAGTTCATTTATTAATCTTTCAGCTCGAACTATATTTGATTCATTATCTGTAGTTATTGTAAAAATCTTACTAGATAAATCCCAATTAGAAATAATTTCATGTAAAACCTTATAAATATTGTCTTCAGTATAAAAATAAGGTACATATTGAACTGCTAATATTGCCTCACATAAATTGAAATCATTATTAATAAATGAACACGTAATACCAATATATCTACTTCTACTTCTAGCTGTTCATAAATCTGCTATTATAGAACATGAAATAATATTTATACTAAATTTTTTTGTTAATACATCTTTGATTTGATTATATAATTCAGCTAATAGTTATTGTATAGTTTTATCACTTGAAAATTGATAATTTAGATCTAATTCATGCATAAACTCAATAAATCCTTCATCATTACCTAAACTAATTAGTTGATTATCTTTAATTAAAATTCTAACAAACTTTCAATCTTGACGATTCTTAATATCTGAATTATTTCGTATCAGTTTTGAATTTCATTTATTTTTCTATTATGACTTTCTTTAGTAATTTGATGTGTAGTAAGATGAACAATAAAATTACCGGTAGAACTATTAAATCCTATAAAGTGTCTACATGATTCTACACTAATTTTCCGTTAAACTTGAACTAAATATCTTACAATTCTTTTATATTGTTCAGTTAGTTCATATTGATTGAAGTATCTCATATCCAACTTCGTCTTGATGACTTGGCATTTAAAATTAAAACTAATTGATCAGTTGCTGTATTTTTTGTTATTTCCACCAGTTTTTTGCTGATTATTTGTTTTCATATCTGAATCCAATTCAATTATAGATACACATCGTCATTTAATGGTTTATGAATATTTTGTCTTAATTTTTTGACCAACTTTCAGATTCACATTTATTTTCAGAGTCCAAGGGTTCTTCAAAATTTTTTGACTGAGACATTTTTATTATTAGAAAGTAAACACGAAAATGAAAAAACACAAGTGATCAATAATCACGCGTGTTAATTTAAATGATCTACAAAAGGTGTGGCTTGGAAAATATATTAAAAGTAAATTATCAACTTAATTTAACTAATGTTGGTCTACCATATATAAAAATATAAAATATCTAACACTTTATCCAACATTGTTTTAATATAAAATTCTGGTATAAAAGATAATATCAAATATTAAATGAAACTCTTGATTAATAATGGAAAGAAAAGGTTTAAAAATCTAAGAGAATATTTTAGTTTGGAAATTCGAGCATACAAAAAATATTTAACGTTAGTTAAATAAAGCTTTAACTAACAATAAAAAGAAAAGGTTTCAAAGAAACTTTAAAATATTATTTTAATTTAGGAAATTCAGCACAAAAGGTAATATTTAACGTTAAATAAAACTTTTAATCAAAAATGATAACTAAAAGAAAAGGTTTAAGAAACCTAGGTAAAAATAAAATCTTGTGTTTATACATGCTAAAATATTGATAAAAAAAACATAAAATTTATTTATTTGTATTAATTGTTAAGCAAATGTTGCAAAAGTAACGAAGCTTTAACAGAAAAGCCAATCATAAAAAATTAAAATTTTCTCTATATTATAATAATAATAAGAGGAAGCGAAAAGTTTCTTTTTTTTCACAATTTATACATTTTATGATTGTTTTATTATATTGTTTATTTTTATATTGTTATAAAAAATATCTGCGAATATCTGTAGATATCTGCAGATATCTGCATATTCGCAGTTTTATATCCATCATTTAAATTACTTATCTGGATATCTATATATCCATATAGATATTTGAATAATGTATTCACGGATTAGATCACTAATTACAAGGCTATTTGGTATTTTTTTTTTCACTTACTATTTATAAAACTTTTTGATTCACTAAGGTTTTTTAGCCCATATAACTTCCCATTCCTTTTAATAATTACCTAATAGTTTTCAATAAATTTTAGAATTAGATTATTTAAAGATCAATCCATAACCTTTAGAATATTATCTTTAAAAAATTACTTAGTAAAAAACTAAATTACTTAATAAAATGACTAAAATTCTATCTTGCTAAAGCATTTTTATACTATTTTTACATTTAATTTTCAATTTTTTTGAGATTTAGTGATAATTTTATGTGAAATTCTTATCAATTAGTGTATTTCAGCAGTATTGTGTGTTTTCTGCCTTCAGAAATATAATATATTCAATATTAAGGTTTTTTGTCTTAATGGAATCACTTTAAAGTTCAATAAAATAAATTTTTTATTAAAGTATAGGAAAATTTCACTTGAAAATAATATCTTAATTATAAGGCTTTCATTTATATATTTATTCACGTATATACAACTAAAATTGGTTAAGTTACATCTGTAGATCATTTTTCAAAAAAAATTCATTTTTTTGCATATCACTGTATATTTACCATTGAATATTAATATACAGTAGATTGAATAATAGCTAATATCTTGAATTTATAGGTAATATATGAAAGTATCATCAAAACATAAACTGATTTTTAATTCTTTTTATTATTATTTATACTTAATAAAGATTTATTAAATAAATAATAATAATGTGAATATTATACATTTTTATTGAAAAGTGCTTACATTATGAATTCATAATTGATTACATAGTTTAAAACTGATTTAGTTTTATTTTTCAATTATAGATTTCTAAAATTATCAAAAATCTTTAGAAAGATTTTATTCTTTATTTATTTATTATTTAAATATAAACTAAGAAATAAAACTATTTTAAGTTTGAAGTAAAATTTTTTATTTAAAATCAATAAATTAATTTTTAATTTTTATTTATTTTTTTATTTTTTTATTTTTATTTTTTATTTACTGATATTATCGTATATATAATATGACAAATAGAAATACTTAAGTAATTATAAATTTTTTACACTATTTTCTAAAAGTATAATATCCTATACTTTACTTTGGATAATAATTTAGCAAAAATATAATATAAAAGTGATTATTTTAGCAAATATTTATAATTTTCATTAAAAATAATAATAAACAGTTTTTTTAATCTTATATATATAATTTATATTAAATATAGGTAAATTTTTTAAAATAAAAACAAAAATAATATAAATTTTATTAGGTAATTAATATATAATGTATTTTCTATTTACATTAATACATACTTAAATTTAATTATATATGTTATTAATATAGTTAAATAATATAAAGTTATCAAGATTATCTTATTCTTTATGAATTATATAAAAAAATTTTATTTGAATTTTTTTATACAATCATTTTTTTAATATTTTTCTCAATTTTTTTTAAAGCAGCTTAAATATTTTCAATTAGATTAAAGTTTAAACTATAAGAAGATCAAAAAAAAAAACCTGATTCAGAAGATAAGTTTTTAAATCTTTTTAATATCTTTGAAAGTACAGTCTGATCTTGATATAACGAACCCATGATATAACGAACTTTTAACTTACCAAACATTTTTCAAGAACCAGATTCATAATATTTAAAAAAATTTTAATATACCAAATATCATATAAAATCTATATAATATATATTGAATTTTTATTGAGTAACCGTTTATAATAAAGTATAATAAAAAAATTTTCAATATACTGAACTGATCATGTGATTAGTAAAATTAGTATTACAAAATTCAAAAATTGGTAAATCAGCATTTAGATAGATTATAATTAAACAATTTGATCAATTGTTCAGATTTTTTATCACGCTATAAACCAAAAAAGAAAAAATGTAAATAATAAAGCAATGTTAAAAAAAAGAAAGTTCTTACCTTTAGAGAAAAGAAAGAATTATATTTGCTTAATTAAGAAAATCCATCATTATTACAAAAAGAAATAGGAAAAAAGTTTGGTGTAAAAAAAATACCATATGTGATATTTTAAAAAACAAAGACAAATAGTTAAATATGAAACTTAATAGTTTTAACACAACTAAACAAAAAGAAAAATCACCAAAATTTTCCGAACTAGAAGAAGCTTTGACAATTTGGATTTCAAATGCTTTATTGGCTAATAAAACTATAATGGGAGAAATCATTACAGTCAAAGCTGCTGATTTTGCAAAATTAATGAATATTGAAAGTTTTATCAGATCAGCAGGATGGTTAAATAATTTTAAAAAAAGACATAATATTAAGCAATATAATAAACATGGTGAGGTTTAAAGCAGTTCAAGTGAAGAAAAATTAGCCAAAGAAAGAGAAAAATTACAGGAATTAATTAGTAATTTTGATTTTGAAAACATGTTTAACTGTGATGAAACTGGTAAATTTTTATATAACTTAAATTTTAAAAAGTAATTATAATAAATATAATTTAAATTTTAAAAATATTTTTATTTTATTTAGGATTATATTGGGAGTTAGAATCTTCTAAAACATTATTTACTGATCTTCTTTCTGGAACAAAAAAATCGAAAAATAGAATTACAGTTTTATTAACATTTAATGTAACTGATTTAATTAAACTTCTAGCACTTTACATTCATAAATATTAAACACCAAGAAACTTAAAAGGAATTGATAAATCAAAGCTTCCTGTGAATTATTTTTGGAATAAAAGTGCCTAGATGCAAATGACTATTTGGAATAAATATCTAGAACTTTTAAATCAAAAAATGAAAAGGTGAAATAGAAAGATCCTTCTCTTAGTAGACAATGCACCAATTCATTCTGTTAGTAATCCAGAGCTATTGACAAATATTACAATCCATTATTTGCCTCCCAATACTACAGCATTTGCAACCTGCTGATGCTGGCATTATTAATTCATTTAAGGTTTGTATATTATTTATTATAAATTAAATTATAAAATTA